ATATATATATATGAAGAAAATATCTTAAATATAGTTTTCATGCTCATAATCAGAATAGAGACAATGGTTAACCCGTACAAATCCCATAAATATATATATATGATCTAATGGTAGTCTCGAAAATTAAGTAAAGCAGTCGATTGCTTTAGCTTCATCGAAAATTCACATCTGCCCTGTGACCCAAGGGCATTTATCGAAATGTAGCTTAGTGGTTAACGTGTCGGGATTATACGCTGTACTGCCATGGTTTGAGTCTTACAAGGGAAGCTGATGAGACCTAGGCGAGGTGGAAACTGCAGTTCACTCCTACCTGAATGAGAAAAGAAAACTGTACAATTAAATGGAAAGGTAAGGTCCACTCATATAACTATGGGAAAATTTAATTACCAGTTACCTTATCAGCACAAACAAAATAGGGGGAAAAATATTATTCATCGGGTGACTAAGTTTTTTATTCAATAATTACCGGTAATCTCGAAACCTACTTATATAAGAAATAAGTAACGTTTTCGAATGCAGATTCTTTATGAAAATAAACATCGTACAAAAAATAATATTTATGCTTTGCCACAAACCTGATCTAATTGTCGTCAACTGTTTCTCTGCTATACGTTGCCAGTAGCGCTGCTCCTCGGCAGCCAAAAGTCGGCCTAGATTAACGCGAGGTGGAGATGGCAATCGAGGCTGTCGGTGCCACAAATCGATTTTAGAAAAATTGGAATCACTCTGAGACTCTCCGTTCGTCAAAGAAATTCCTGGTGCTGGTGGATATGTTCCAAGAGGGAAATATCTGAAAAAGAATAAAACAAGAAAATACGTTCAAGCGCTACACATAACCTAGATAAATAGGTATCAGAAAATAAAAATATACTCATTGCACAACATTAAAGAGTAAAGCGCAAAATGCTTACGAATCAATAAACGTTCTGATCTCCCATAAAGATAAAGACTCTTCTGGCATCCAGGTCTCAGTGATCTCTTGATCAACTTCCAATTCGTCCCGCACTTTTTCACCCGAGGCGTTGGCTTGTTGGCTATCCACCTCGCCTAGTTCATCCTCATCGTCAACCTGATCTCCCGAATCCTTTGCAAGTCGGCGAACTGCACCCTTGACGCGACCGCCAGCAGCAGCCACAGTGGCAGTAGTCAATTCGGCGGTACTAAATGCAGCAGTTGCCTCCGAAGCCATTTCTGAATCTTGATCCATATCTCCGGGGCCATTTGCATAGCGATTCCGTTCCATCTCTTCCAGTTCAGGATCTGAAGCTTCTCCAGCTGACGAACCGCCTGAAGAGGCTGAATATCCAGATGAATAGGCTTCACTACCACCTGTTCGACGACGCTGTCCACCCTCGGTGGAGGCAGCAGCAGCTGCAGCCGCTGCCTGTCTGCGCTGGCGGCGAAGGGCTGTCTGTGAGCAAGGTATACCAACGCGCCAGCCCTCATCCTTAGCTGGGTCGTAGTCGGGGTCAGCTCCTTTTCCGCCTTTTGGTCGGTTCTTCTGGCCTGGAAGGCGACCTCGTTGCCCTGGTCGGCGAGAGGATGACTTAAAGCCGGTAGCCAGAGCCACCTGAAAAGAAAATGAATGCAAGAAAGGAATAGACTCTTTAAAGAAAGAAAGTATATAGGCATGCACATAAAGGGCGTAAATGAACTTCCCAAGAAGGAGAATATGGACATAATTAGGAAATCGAGACAAGCGATAAAGGTAATGCAAACCTACTAAAATAGGTTGATTGAGTAACATCTGCTAATTAAGCTCCATACAAGTTAACATTTTATTACAAAGGTGTTAGCTAGAAGGTTCTGACAAGACTACACTAAACAGGATAAAATTTATGCTTTATAATATATCGTACACTAGTCTAAAATGCCACGCAAATAGAAAAGAAAATACACAGGCCTGTTTTCGAATCCAAGTCAACAGTAATGCATGGGAGAGCAGTGAAGAAAAAAATAAAATCTTGATTGCCTTTTTCAGAAATAAAAGTTCACATATTATACCAACGTATGTGTTGCGCTATTTCGTAATGTATGAATGTTTGTTCTGATGTCTGTTAAGGCGGTACAGAAGAAAGCTTAGCACAGGTTCGTTGGGGTGCAGAACGGTACATCTTTGTACAATTCATAAGTCTTCACTCCGCGGCAATCTTTATTCGGTACACGATGAGACCATCTCACGATTTCTTTAAAACCAAGTCTTCTTTCAAAATGGAAAGTCAAAACACAATTGTTGAATTCATATTGCATTATCAAGAATTGAATGGTTTGACCAACTGAAGAAAAGCCATTTATGTTGCTCAATTAAAAAAAGTGTTGTTATGACGAAGAGATCT